AGATAGGCTGCTTGGTGGTACTTTATCACCCTGCTTGTTGTTGTCACAGCCACAATTGGTTTGTACTCCCCATCTGCTGCATCAGCAAAGTCGAGACTGATTTGGTCACTTTGGAGCCCTGTTAGCTTTGCTCACCGCACTTCCCTGTTGATTCCAGCCATCATTGCAAATGGTATCTTTATGCGGTGGAGTTAACCCGGATAGTGCTCTCCCCTGGGTGCCTTTATTATCTATTCATCATGTTGTCCCAGTTTATCTCAAGATGAATCTGCTTCACTACAGATCTAAGTACAGATACCTGGCGTGTGGCCTGGGGAAAGAGATTAGTAGATTACAAGATACTCAGCAGAGGTGCTTCACATAGAGTTGATAAGAAGGTGAAAAATATTCTAAGAAGATGTAGAATGGTTATGAATTTGTGTTTGTGCTCTTTTAGCACCGATTTGTCTTCGAAGTAGTCTTGAATATGCTAAAACCACCTTGATATACAGTAATTTCCATGGTAACAATGTGCACAACCAGCCAGGGGCAACCTCAGTGTGTCCAATCTGGTAAGTAAATGAACATTTGAAACATTGAAATGAAATGTTCTTGGCCTAGTATTCAGCCTCCGAGCTGACTTTTTGGACACTCCCTCAAATTTCTTCCCGGCTAATTTGCATTGCTGAGTAGATCCATTGTGTCACCTGGAGGTTTGGGCAGAGCAGTGTTGCAACCAATTTCCAGATGGCAATTCAAATCTGTGACATATCCTCAGTTTTTGACAAAAATGCACTGCCACTTCCACAGACTCCATTAGCTGGCGGGATGTGTATGCGTGCATGCACAAATGGAAAGTGGAAAGTGTCCAGTGGTGTGAATATTCACATCTGCACCTGCTGAATAATAGACGATTATCAGCTCAGGTGGCTCGCCATCCACCCCTGTTCACAAGCTCTCTCCCATTTCATGAGGCTAATTTTGTCTGGAATACTCAATAGGTGTGCAAAAATGCATATTTCCTGTCTCTCTTACTTGATCTTGTCTTGTATTCTGTCTAAAGAGGGAACATATTCCTCAATAAGAGTGCTGGCTTCAGGGAGTAATGTGTCTGCAATATAGACTCTAAAGAGCCTCAGGTCTTGGCAGGTACTCCTTACAATTCAGCGGGACAGAGACACCTACGGCAGATACTCTGGCAGCAAGGCCATATATCATCTGTCATCTCCAGAAGCCTCCACAGTAATGAACAAGTAATAATGGTATATATCTTGAACTCGAGTCTCTAAAGGTAGCTCATCCAGAGTCATTATTGTGCCACATAACCAGATGAGCTTTCTCAAATGAGATCATTTTTGTCACCCTGAGGACTGGAGGGTGTAACTGTTCTCAGAGTGAATAACTCATCCTCATTTGGTGCTAATGGGACTCTGTATTAAGGTGTTGTGCGAATGCAAGAGGAATGGTAAATCCCATTTTCTTGTAATTTAAATCTCAAGCTGTTTCCACACATCTGTTCGTCTGGCAGAAAAGAGGATTCATCTGGAAAAAAAACATGCACAGGATAAAAAAGGAGCATTTAATGAAGATTCATGCAGCACAAGATTATGACGAAGTGTTAGATGGTGGTGTGTTATGGAGAGGTATGTCATGATGACATCTCTCTGTCGCAGAAATGAGCATTATTCCCTCTACCCATTCATCCACCTACCTAGCTTCTATCCCACTCCCTCCCTCCATCTGTCCATCCATCTAGGCTTTATCCAGGTATTGCGATGCTACAGTTAACCCATAATGAGGGATATGCATATGAAGCCAAGCTTTTTCTGCATATTTGACAGCATGTGTTCTCAGCCTCGTGTTGCCACTCCGTGCATATGTTCGCATATTGGGGGGGGGGGGGGTTGCTCTAACGATTACAGCTGAGGTGTCATTTTTCATGTAAATAGAGGATGGCAGGATATAGCAATCCTGCTGTTTGTGAAATTAACTGTGGCACACATATACACAAAACCAGCAGCACAGATCTCCTAAAACTGAGGGCTGTGTAAAGACTGTGATGAAATGTTGTTACTGCAAGCACACACAAGAAATGCACCAGTCAAACACAAAGGAACTGTGATATGAAGGTATTATCATTTACCAAAAATGTCCAGATGAGGCATGCTGCACAAGCAGCTGCCTGAATGGACAATGCACCCCAGTAGCCATATCTCCAGTGTCCAATTCAGCAAACACATGATTCAACCCGTCATTCATAAGTGCTGATGTAGCCATGCTCAGAGCAGAGCCACAGAGTCCCCAGAGTTGGATATCACTGCTAACTGTCATCCGAGTACTTTGATTACTGGACTGGGAGAAGAATGATGACTAAGGCCACTCTAAGTCCTGGTCAGACTCTGTAAGGCTGTCGAAGGAAAGAGGATCAAGTCCAAGGACCCATTTACACCCGTAACGTTTTTATAATGTGTTCACAGCTCATGAGTGTAGACTTCTCCTGTTTCAAAAACCATTTAAATCAGTTGAGTGACACCTCTTAGAAAAAGACTGATGCCATAAAATAAATATGAATAAAAACAGTGTTTATTTCGAGAGATTAAAGTCATTTTCTGTTCTTATGAATATTGCATATTGTTTTACAGATTTAGATAGATAGATAGATAGATAGATAGATAGATAGATAGATAGATAGATAGATAGATAGATAGAAGTAAAGTATTATAGGCCTAATTGGACCTAAACAGAAACCAGAACAGGATAGAAACTGGACCTATAAATTAGCAATATGGCTGGCACAGCAGCTCATTGTACATGCTGTGCTGTACATACAGTACATTCGTAACATGTCTGTCTATCCTGACAGAGGTATCTCTCCTCTGTTTCTCTTCCTAAGGTTTCTCACATTTCTCCCCTGTTAAAGGATTTTTCATGAAGATTTCTCATATGTATTGATGCTCAAAGGATAGAGCGTGTCAAATTCTGTATAGACTGTAAAGCCCTTTGGAGCAAACTTGTGAAGAGTAGCACGATTGGCTCACAGCAGGAAGGCCCTGAGTGCAAACCAGCTGGCTATGCTTTTTTTTTTATTTTATGAGGAGTCTGGATGGTCTCCTATGTCTGTGTGGGTTTCCTCCAGTTACTTCATTTTCCTCCTACAGTCCAAAAACAAGCAGATTATGTGAAATGGACACTGGTGGACGAAGTATTGACAGCCCCAGAGTTATTTATGTATCTATTTCTTGGTGCAGCAGAAACAAGTTGTCGTCACAACATTGATATATCATCACCTTTTAAGTTGATATGAGGAGACCGTTGCTTATATTCACAACCGGCAGTTACAGAGTCACATTATTGGAGTCATGTGTCTGGGCCACCTGGTGAATGTAAGTCCAAAATACTCTTTTTGCTCAGTGTTTTTGTCTCTACCTCCAGAGGGAGATATCTGGCTCTTTAGCTGCTAAATGCTTCACTATTTCCACCAGGTATTCACAAACTTTGTCTCTCAGTTGTTTTGTGCTGAGCAGGGACAGTAGGTTTTTATAGCTTTTTTTGCTATGGCCTCTGTATGTTATATACTATTATATGTTATATTATTAGATTATCTTTACTGATGCATTCATGTGTAATTAAAGTTGGAGCAAACAATTTTATATATTTTGGGGTAGTTTAGTCTAGACCATTGCATTGTATATCCATGGTTTAACTGAAGTTATCAAATAAATGTAGCGAAGTTAAAAAGTACCATATTTAGCTTGAATTGGCGTACAAGCATAAAGTACCATGACATGGAAATGCTCAAGTACAAGTACCTGGAATGCATGTTGGGATAGCTGCCCTGCCCTACAACTCTGAACCGATTAGGCAGACATAGAGACTATTCCACAAATCAAAGTAAATATTTGAATTTTTTTCTCTTCATTTTGAAAGGAAGTGGAACAAATAGCTTTCAGTGAGGAGATGCTACAAAGATACTTAAAAGAACTCTTTAGGGGAAAAGCATTAAGAACTTTTTTCCTCAGTGTGTATGTTGCTGCGGGGAAAGACAGTCTAAAATGTAAATGCACTACAGTATATTCTCTTGCATAAAGACAGCTTCACCCCTCAGGGACGCATGAATGAAATTGTGAATAGCGGAAGAGTCTTCCAGGAACGTGTTGGAATATTCCATGTCCTTTTGCACTTGAGATTAAACCAGCGCCTGTCTGTGCATGAGGTTCCACTAATTCTTCTAAGAACTTTTTTGAGAGATGATACAGTGTTTTCACGGCTGCCAGCTTGGTGCCATATTTAAGTTGAGACTAGGGGAACATACACAAAGGTGCAGGGACGATGAGAGAAAAAAAGTGAGAAGAGATTATGGTCAGCCAGAGATAGTATGTTAAATATCTGAATCATGTAAAATGCAAAATATACTACAAAAGAAAGAAGGTGCCGGTAACAGAATAAACATGGTTCTGTGCCAAGCTTGAATGTGTTTGTGAACACCAGTGTATTTCTGTGTGTTTGACTATGAGATCATAGCAGTGACCTCAACTGATTGAGCTCACACAGCATCCTATCCCCAGTCCTCCCCTCCTGGAGTGGGTGGGGACCATAGTGCTATCTGTGGACTTGCAAAGTGACAGGACCAGCTGGGGAATGAAATCCAGTAAGACAGGCAGTTGGTCTGGGAGACCAACTGCTGCTCAGTTACAGCAGCCTCCAACTCCACTCGGAAAAACCAAGCCAGGATTCAGTGTAACTGCTGCCAAACATCAGAAGTTCTACAACAGCCAGACACCACAGTGCCACTGGAGCTGATCATGTGCTGTGTGGCATGTTCAAGAACCCTGGAGATCAATCAGCAGCCATTATCTTTAGCAGTCCTCTCAATGCTCCAAGTGCTGGTGATTCAGCTAATCGCATGCTGACATCCTGTTATAGGCGATAGAATCAACATTACTGCGAGGACGATGGGTGGGAAGCAATCTCGCAGTTTTTCCAACAAGGAGTTGAATGAGGTGAATGTGAGTCAAAGGAGGAGGAGTGCTTTGAGAGACGATCAGCCCAGCCTGTCCTCGGCTGCTGAGAGGATCCGCAGACACACCATGGTGCACTTTGGTTACAGCACCCTGAGTTTAGCCATGCGGGGGCTTGATGAAACCCCAGCTGAGCTGTGGGAGCTCCGAGAGCTTCAGAAGCTAAACTTGTCCATGAACTGCCTGTGCTCTCTGCCCCCTGCCCTGGGTACTCTGGACAATCTCGTGATCCTCAACCTGTGGGGCAACAACCTGTCCAGCCTCCCACCCGAGATTGGCCTCCTGAAGAAGCTGCGTGTGCTCTTTGCTTGTCGCAACCGCCTGAGCGAGGTCCCTGAGGAGCTGGGCTCCTGCACCTGTCTGGAGGTGCTCAGTCTGGCCAACAACCAGATCACAGGCCTCCCAGGCAGCTTGGCAGCCATGCACAGTCTTACCAAACTCAACCTTAGCCACAACCGCATTGTTCACATCCCCACCTGTGTCTACAGCATGAAAGGTCTGGTCTTCCTCCACCTGGCCTGCAACCGTCTGGAGACAATTGCAGACCAGATCCAGGACTTGGTTAACCTGAAGATCCTCATCGTGGAGGGAAACAGTATCCACACACTTCCCAAGACACTGTGTTTCCTTGAGTCTTTAGAACTCCTCAATGTCGACTTCAATGACCTGCAAAATGTACCGGTGGAAATGTATCTACTGAACAGGCTCGGGAGGTTGGCCTGCCACCCGCTGGATAAAGGACTTCATATTATCCACAACCCCCTCCTCAAGCCTATTCAGGAGGTGCTGCAAGGAGGACTCAGCGCCCTCTATAACTACCTCAAACCCACGTGAGGGACTACCACTGTGTCTGTGTGTGTCTAAAAGAGTGTGTCGTAATGGGATGTTGGCACAAATCTGACCCCCGGCACGTGGTAGTCATGCTCTGAGTCCTCTGTTACCACAAACTGACTTACAGAGATATTATGATGCAAGACAGGATATCTTAGATAGATTTTCCATTTTTTATGTAACATAAATGTTTGGATATAAATAAAAGATTAGTAACTGTTGTGTCATGTCAAAACATTTGTTAATCCACAGTAGAGGGGTTAGGACAGGTCACTCTGATCACACAAATTCACAGGTCTACATTTGTTGGCTGATTACTAATCAGTTGATCTTGTTTGGCTCTGTGACAGTGAGGAAGCACAGGGGTAAGTTCAGCTACAGATCACAACTGTGTTTGTTGCATTCAGGACATTGGGATCAGGTGGGTAAGGTCAGTGGAAGGAACGGTGGAGGGGGGCTTAAGATTTGCAAAAAGACTAAACAAAACACAACAGGGACTTAGACTCTGATTAAACCTTGTTCCACTCCAACAGATCAGAGCAGAGGCTGCAGGGTGGCAGCTCCTCTGAGGTCGTTGGGTGTTGAAATACCAACTATTTGAAAACAGTTATGGAAAATCAAATTTATGATATGCTATGTATGTGTGGAACAAATAAAACTGAAATAACTTGAAGCAAACTTCTGTTTAACTGAAGCTGAGAAAGCTTTCAAGTAGACCTTTGAGTTTGGATTATTTTGTTACCTATATGTAGTTGTTGCAAATTCAGACCTGCAAAAGAAGATGAACAATTCAATAAATTTCCCATTGCCCCAAGAAGTTTAAAACTGTAGCTGTGTAGTGGTTGAAGTGAAATGTAACCAGCTGTAAAGGTGGTATAATGTGCAACAAGGTTTTATGAGTAAATAAAACTTAAAAAAAAAAAAGATAAGATACTGCTTCATGCAAATCATGCACTGATCCTCTACTACATATTCAACCGGTTTAAGAAGGAAAATGCAGTAACACAAAATATGAAAAGTGACTTTTCCAGGAATCAAAACAAAATAATCAAACATTTATCCTTTTAAAATGATACAGAAGAGGATTTATTCTGAAGGATTAGTGATCCCTGTTTTCCAAAATAAGAGTTTCTTGGTATCATTAAGATGGTTGTAATCCAGTGACTTTATCTTGGACTGCAACAGTAGAACAACTTTGTGACATGTGGTGAGTACTTGTGTGTATGACTGGGTAAATATATGTGTATGTTATCACCAGGTTGTCTCTAGCATTGGTCGACTTTTGTGCTTGAATATCAATGAGGTTTACATGTTTCTCACCACCTACATTGTTAACCAGTCACAGTGAAGATTGAATATGCAATGGAAAAGACAGAAAAGTGACCTCTGTTGGTACATACCTGTTACTACATTAGTCAAAGTGAATGCTGAAGTGTTCTCTCTCTCTCTCTCTCTCTCTCTCTCTCTCTCTCTTTTCTCTCTCTCTCTCTCTCTCTCTCTCTCTCTCACACACACACACACACACACACACACACACACACACACACACACACACAACCCACGCATTCATGATGGATGAACCCCTCCTGAATAAGTCTTTGTCCCAGATAGTGATCATGGGACATGTTGTCAAATAAAGCACCTATAAAGATATTGCTTCAGTGTGAGTCAGATGACCTGAATTCAGGTATTAGTGTTCTGTGGTGATGTTACTATTTTAGTGATAACACAATATACAATGACTGACTGCTTGTATCACTTATTTAAGATGACATAAACACTCCCTCTATATGTAGAAACAGACATTTTCCGTAGGTATCTAACGTAACTAATAGATTAAAACTTATTTGTGTTTGAAAAAACAAACCAAAATGATGTTTGGGGTCTCTTGTGCACAGTCGAGTAAACACACTTTAACCACTATGACAATTAATTAAAGTGATCCTTTGCTGTGTGGCATTCAGCCTCTTTGCTGCCAACAGTGCTCACTCACTGGTGGTCGGCTGTACACCCTTGACTGCAGTTACCGGGCTTTGTACGATTTTCTGATCTTATTTAATTGCTGTGTGCTCTGATAACTTTGCTTTGTAAAGAGACACCGTGCAAGATAGAGCCAGTGGGTGAACACAGACATGGCACCCGTGTTCTTCATTCAAAGGTATTATTCATTTGTAAGCCAAAGCTTAGAAAACAGTTTAGAATCACTAGCGATGAGTGACTTCCCATAATGAAGGACAGCTAATCGATCACATATTGAGCTTGTGACAATCAAGGCGCAGGATAATCACAATGGAATTAAATGACAAAATCACTGTTGTCGGGCAGCCACACGAGGAGAGACTTAATAAGTCTTCCTTTTGTACCGCAGTTTAAGTTGTGCGATTTATTCAGTCAGACTCCTCACGTAAGGTGAGGTTATTGGCATTTATTGACAAACAGCATTACAACAGTCAATTGCCACAGAGGGTTATTTATCTCATCGTTCTTAAGTTTAACTGATTTAAACCATCCCTGCAGGGAGAAATATGAAGGAGAATAGATTTGCTGAGGGTTCGTCCCCTGCTGGTGGCAGCTCTCCACGATGAAATGTCAATATCACCCATTCAGTGGCTCAGGGTGTTGTTCAGAAATCAGCAACAGTGAGTCACTGAAACGCATGAGCCACTGTCACTACCTTTGAGGCCTAAATATGGACTCTTTTGACGCTGGTCTGATCCTTTCTATCCAATCAGTGGAATGTCAAAGCTTTGAGAGTGTGATGGAAAGTAAGCTCGTGAAATGTTACTGGCTTAAAAGAAAAAAAAAAAAAGTGTCAGGCCAACATAAGGTGTTTTCAATAATGTAAATGGTACATGGGCTCACCACAGTGATTCCTCACCAGCAGCTGTCAGGAGTTCCTTTTGGAGATATAACTAATTTGACAAACTAAAAATTATGATTTGATTTTAAGGAAGCTCTATCACCTGAACACTATATTTTGTGATTGAGAGTGCATTAAAATAGGTTAATGTGTTAGAAGAGAAGTCAAAATAAGTACAACAGATAGATAAAATTAACAAATAAAAGGTTGATGTAGATTGATAAAGTGATGGATATAGGGCTGGAATAGTTAGCTAAATGGAAGAGGGTTGAAATGGAAAGCTAAAAGTGATAAATGGTGTGAACCACTGGTATTATTATGATTTATTTATTGAACATGACTGAGGACTGTGTTTATGGAGATCCTAACCCTCAATCACACACTAACTCTCTCTCTCTCTGCAGACAATGATGTTATCCATTCACCCCTCCATCCAATCAGAGTCAGTAACATTCTCTCCAATTCCCGTGACAGCTTTGCTCAGACTGGTATTCATGCATTCCTGGCAACACAACTGCTGAAGCCTAGACAATACCTAAAGACCACAAAGAGACGTGAGGCGTTTCTGTGAAATGCTTCAGCCATTGTTTGCCGTACTTGTGTAGTAAAGCAACCACTGGAGCTGTATACCCTTGATATATAACAGGAGGTCATTTTGAAACTAAATGTGGAGCCATGTCAATCTGGCTGCATTTTAATTAGCCATGAAAACTGCTGGTACAAGTAAAATGGCCACGTGTGTTTATGCATGCAAAAACAATAAGGGACTGACATTGGTTGACTTTGTCAGCCTCTCCATCTCTGTGTTTGATATTGCTGTGAGAATACCCCTGGTGCTGTTTGCACTTGGCGTCTCAGATAAGACTAATTTTGAACAAATATTTGCATATATTTAAGTAAAGCATCATTATTGATTCATCAAAGCTGAAAAAAACAACAACAAATCATAACAAAAACTGTGATGATGCGGTCCTGTTTTGCCAGGTCACCTGATGAGGTCCTCTTGAATTTCAACCTTAGTTTTATGAAGTTCATCAATAAAGGTGTCAAGTTGAGCATGAAAAAGGCTCATACAGCTCATTCATTGGTGGCAAAAAAATGAATTTACCAATTTTGATCAATGAAATCACTTCATTATATTATAGGGACACTTACTCTGTGCTGATTTTACCCATGTTTCTATGTGAAGGTTTTCATATTTTGGTAAATTTGCAAGAAGATTGACATCAACCAGCGGCTGGTTAGCTTAGCTTAGCATAGCATAAAGACTGGAAATTCGGGGAAATGGTTAACCTGGCTCTGTCCAGAGTGAATAAGAGTTCTCATCACATTACATGATCTTCATCAGAGGTTTAATTTTATTTGAGGTTTTTTTTCCTCAAATGCGTGGTTTTCTGAAAATACTACATTCTTATAAGTGATGGGATGATCACCAGTTGGAGGTAACTCTTTTATAAAACTACCTGAAAAAACAAGGGCACACCAGAGGTTGCTGTTCCTGTCTTCCAGTTGTATCATAAATATGATGACAGCTGTGTGAACACTTTTTCTTGACCCTAAATGACCCTCAGCTCAAAATATTGCTCCATTATAAACAAGCTTTTGAATTGAAGACATGCTTCAGGAGTCTGCTACAGATAATGGTAATGTTACTTCTGTTGTAGAACATGGCTAAATACAGTGAATGCTCCATTTTGGACTGGTGCTTTTTTATGCTGCACTACCCTCCCATATCTCAAACAAGTCTGTTTGATTTTATGTTTTGGACTTGTATAATAGCTTGCTCAGTTTGAAAGCAAAATCAATTCATATTTGCTCCTATCTCATATAAAACATTATCCTAAATATTTTCTTATTTGTTGTACTAACATTATTTTATGGTCATTTTTTCAGTACCTTTAAATGTTCAAACTGAGTTTTTGGCAAAGGAAAGGGTTAAAGTTCAATACCTTAATACAACATAGGCTAATTAATGGTCTTTTATGGTCCCAAACAATGAGGAAGTAAAAATGTAGATTTTAATATAATTGATTTTTGTTCATATTAGAAATTAGCTTATGATAATCACAAGTCAGTGATTGAGTAATGAATTGCCACCTTAATTTAATGATGACTGACTGGTTTGACAGCCCACAGATTTCTA